GAGACCAGAGCAAGTCTGCTTGGAAACTCTCTCTCACATTCCTTCACTGGAAGGTTGCTGAGAGGAAAAGGGAACCCTTCAGATCAAGGAACAGCAAACAGGCCAACTACAGAGGAGTTTGCTAGGGAAGGTCTGCTTGGAAAGAAATCCAAGAAATGAGAGGCAGCAGATTAGAAGACCCAGAGACATGGCTGGATGACGTCGCAATCCCAGAGCCGCTGCCACTTTCAGCTCTTCCTTTGCTTCCACCTGTGAGGTGTCCACCCAGGTCCTGGTTTGGTGCTGTGTAGACTGCAGCTTGCAGATTCCTTCCAATCTCAGCCAGACTGGGGAGCGCCTGCAGTGTGAATGGTGCAATCTGGTGGTGTCCCTCATGGATAAGGCAACAGGAAGAGGTAGGAAGGCTCTGAAGCATCATCCGCCATGTGGACTCCATCAGTTCCATGCTGGAGGAAACCTCTAGGACTGTGGAGGAAGGACTTCCAGAGGTGGTGCTAGGAAAGGAAGAGGACATGGAGTCCCAGGAAGTTGGAAGCTTGTATCTTCTGGCAGCAAGAAGTTGTCATCCCCACATGAAGCGGTTTGCCTGGAGAACAGATGTGGAGCAATAGAGGAGGAGGAGCACATTGCATTGGTGGAAGAGTCCAAGCCAGGAAACCCCAAGGTAGGGAGGACTGAGCAGGGGCAACGCATAGGGGGTGCATGTGGCTGCACGTGCACCCCCTGAGCGTGGCGGTGCACCCTGTACAAAAAGGCACCGCTGACAGGATGCACTGATTTCATAGAATCATAGAAAATTAGGGTTGGAAGGGACCCCAGGAGGTAAAATCAGTGGAATTTTACAATGATAGTTCAAAATCTTTAAGTTTAACAATGTACTCTGAACTTATTGGAGCCTTACTATTTCCAAGCATTTTTATGAGCATCCTAAATGGAGTTTATTTACTGCTAAATGCTATAGGAATGGGCCAGACAAAAAAAAAAAACCTTTGATAGAGCACTAAGAAATATTTTCTAATACATAGTGATAAAATGCTGTGGAATATATTTCATTCCATAATGAATATACCTTATAGAGTTATGAAATGCTGTATTAGCTATACTGCTACACAGTACTGTGAAACCTAGAGCCTCAAGTAGGACATTGATCAAACCTTAAGACACAGTAATTTAAATAGCACTTACTTGTTAGAAGACACAAGAAACTCGTTTTCATTATACAGTGTTATTATTTGAACCTGGTGAGCCAATAGGGGTGGGGCAGGCAGCATGTGTTCCCTTTAATGAGCACATGGATGGTGGGTCATCAAGAAAAACCTGGATTAAACAGTAGAAAGAGCAAAGAGGGTTTGTGAGCAGTGGAAAGAGAACTTTTAACTCCCAGTCCAGTCATCAGGTTGAGAAGGCAGGGGGAGGAGGGAAGTTGTGGGTGTCAGCTGGGGAAGGAAAGGCTGGTCTGTGGTGACAGAAGTGAAAAATCTCACAAGAACGAACTGTTGTAGAACTAGCTCCTGCTCCCGGCCACTATAACACATCTGCCCACGATGATGGTGTGGAGGAGGCTCCAAAAGAAACCATATGTTGGATAAATATTGTAGTGTTTCCTTCTACTTGCTTGTAATAAATAGTACTGACACACAATAGGTTTGACTTATCAGGAGAGATCCCCTCTGCTGGACTGTCTGGGCCAGGCATCCAGGCCAGCCTTCTCTCAGTCTGCCGGCATTGGGAAGAGATCCCAGCTGACCGGCAAGAAGACCTCTTCTCATCCAAATTCTTACCAGCCCCAAGCAACTCAGTGCTGTCTGCCATAAATATAGCCCAGTAATGGCTTCCTAGGACTAATTCCTGTCCTGCTCATTCTAATATGGACAGATGATGTGAGCAGTACTGCTGCAGGTTTTGTGTTTCACTGGAGCCACTGTCCTGGGTGTCACCTCACCCCAGTCTCCTATGAGCAGTAACTTTGTCTAAGTAAACAATGGCTTTTACTCTCTCTTGGCTTTCCTATACCTTTGCCTTTCCCAAGAGGTGAGGAAATCCAGGATACCTTGTAACAGAGGGTTTCACCCCTGTTACTGGGGGTAAACCATGGGAAAGAGCTGCAGAGCTAAGTCCCTTTGAGGTGAGGCCCTTTAGAGACAGAAAGGATGAAGAGATGAAGCTAGGAATAAGCTGCAGACCCATCCCTCCTGGAGGCTGCATACTGGTAAAGAGGACTCCCTGTGCACGCTTGACTGGGCAGGGTCAGGTGACCAGCAGAGGGCAAGGGCCCAGAGAGAATAAAAGCTGGTCCCTGGCTTCCAACTGGGGGGAGAGGAAAGGCTTAGCTGACCTGGGAGAGCAGGTCAGCCAAGGAGGGGATGAAATTTTTTATGTTTTGGACTTTGCTGGCAGCCCAGAGTGGTAGGACAGTGTGTTAAAAATCTCTGTTGATAACAACTGGTGGAATCTGTGGCTACGAGGGGAGATGTGGAGGCTGTATAGCAGAGTGCTGGTGTGAGACTGTAGTAATTGACCCTAAAAAGGGTGGTGAGTACCTGCTTTGGGACCTAGGATCTGCCCAGGTAATGGTAAGGAGCCTGCAGACCTAGCCCAGAGGGTAAGCTGTCAGCTAATGGAGCTAAGGGCCCTGGGTTTGAGACTCTGTTGAGATAGAACTAGGACTATTAGCTAGGCAAGAAGAGACCTTATGGATAGAAAGGCTGAGGCCCTGGAAGTGTTTAGTGGAGATATAGATAAGGAAAAGGCAGTATGCACCTGGCTCTCAGTCTATGCTATCACCTCATCTCTGGGAAAAGGCAACCTTTCCAAGTTATTTAATGAAAGGCATGGCAGGATAGTGAGATAGGGGAATTCTGGAGCCACTGGCAGACTGAAGCCCAGACCTACCCACCAATGGTGCCCTGTTATGTACTGCATAGCTCCAGGAAGGTGGATGAGACAAAGTATAGTGTAGTAATAGTAGCTATAATAATATAATGCCAATTCCAGATGCATTTGGCTGCAGAGGCCCCCGTCGTGATGGCATACCAGCATTTAAACCAGGAATGGCTGCTAATCAACTTGGCTCCAAGTCAGAATAGTGCACAGACCCACTAAATCATTCAGTGCACATATGAGGCAAAGTGGCTAGGGATTGCACTTGGGAATCCAACAAGCCAGTACAGTATGAATGCACATACAGAAACTTTTTGTCTGCACTAACATAATGTATGTGCAGGGGTGCGTTCAAACAAGAATAGAGGCCAGGTGTTACCTTGCCAATTAATAAGAATCTTGTGATGTGAACGGCAGGCCAACTTACTGAGCACATGCTAAGCTTAGTGTGAACTGCATCATGGTGTGGGGACAAATTTTGTCACAGATGAGCAACAATGTTACACTTTGATCTAAAAGTGTTCCTGTCAGCTGCTGGTGGGAACTGAGAAAGCTAGGCAAGAAATAGCACAAAACAGAAGTAGTTGATGTTATGTCATGCTCAGTTTGCTCTAGAGGTGTAGTCATTTGTCATTCTTGCTCCCCCCCTACACACAGAGCAGGTAGAGTGCCACCAAACTTATGATACCCACCTGACAGGGGCAAACAGCTCCAGACAAATATAAAGTAATTGCTTCTAGGAAATGTAGAGAGAAATCCTCTCAGTCTTTATTTCAGGTTAGTGATTCAACATGTAATTGAATCCAAGAGGTATGCAGGGAGGAGGGGAGGATTTGGTCACTTCTTAGTCCACTAACCAAATGCCCAAGAGAAGGCTTTGGCAAAACACCTGGGCTAAAAACAGACAGCTGGCTTGATTCTGACTGTAGTGTTTTATCTTGCAGCAAACCTCAGACCTTTTAGATGGACCAGCCCTTTGTACCTGTGAATTATGCAAATTCATACTTTGCCTGGGAATAATCATGGCTAATTCCAGTTAATTGCCATTTAAGCCTTATGTGTAGGTGACTGCATCTATTTTGATATGAACCATATCCCCGACCAATCAAAGCCACATTAAACCAGTTGTCTCTCTTTAGCCCTGAGCTATACTGCCACCATAGGGCATGAGCTATGTGTGCACAGGCTATGGATTTAGTGTGATTGGGGGAGACTTCCCTGTGTTGTCCAACTCCATTTCCAGTAGTGGAGAAAGGCAGGCTTGTTTGCCTTCTCTGCTTTTTTGCCTCCTTGCTGAGTAAAAACAGTAGACTTGCACTTGGCACAGGTCACTAATGGAGAGGGTCACTAAACTTTTGAGGATCAACCATTCACAAAGAACTTAGTGAATAAAGGAAAAGCTGTTGCTCAGGGTAAATTGGTCTTTCAAGTCTGAAATCCAGGGAAAGGTAATTAAGCATCAGATCACCTGATGGAGGAATGCTATCACCTGATGGGGCTGATGAGAAGGCATATTGGGAGAACACCCTGCCTGGCACAGGGGATTGACTGAGGTTACAAGAGAAAGTGGCTTTTTTTTTTTAAAGCTATTGTAGAAGAAGCTTAGGATGGGAGAGTACTGGCACAGGGCTTTTTGCATTGCCTGTAGGTGGTTTCTCTGAAGTATAGTCCTGGACTTCTTGGAGAACTCAAGCTTGTGCTCAGAGAATGGTCTATAGTGATGAGGAAAATGAGTGTTTGTATTGTTTTTGTTTTGATCTTAATGTTTCTTGAGTGAGTCTGGGTCACCCTTACAAAACTTGTGTTTGCTATAGGGCACAGCTGCTGTGTGTCCTTGAAGAGAAAATCTGTAAACTGGGAGTACCAGCAAGGATAGAGCTCTAGGACAAGGTGTCCTGAGTCTAGTGGAGAGACAAGGAGTTGGCATTGATCCTGGGGCAGCTGGGTTGTGGGGTCCCATTATGTGAAGAAGTGTCTGGCAGAGAGGTTATACCTGGGAAGTGGCCAAGGAAAGAGCTAGTGGTGCCTAGCAGGACTAATGGAAGCTGAGAGTGCATGGACCTAGTGCATGAACCCCAAACAGAGCAGCCTGCTAAGTGCCCAGAAGGAGAGAGGTTTGCTGGGCCAGCCCTAATGAATGCTCATTAACCACATGTGCAGCTAAAGCAATGGCTTAAGTTCCATGGAGCCTCTCCCCTCCCAGAATCAACTAGCAATTTTCCTCCTGTATCATACTCTGAAGTACTAGCACTGAATAAGAAGCAATGACCAATAATGCCCAAAAGACATTTCTGTCTATGGTAAGAAGGTGGTATCTATATAAATGAATGATGCATTGTGATCTGGTTAGCATTTTGCACAGGGGTAAATTATTTTTATGTGGTGCAATGCAGTGAGGTGTCTGGACCTGAGATTAAGCAAAATGCCACTTGAAGGGAGCTGTTTCCTTTTCAGAACCAGGAGCAAACTCCTTTACAGTAATAATTTCACAAATCTCAATTGCACTAGTAACAGCTAATTGATGTACTTCTGCTTTGCTTTAAAACCTTTGCTGAAATAAACCCAACTAGTAGAAGATATTTGGACGAGGATCTCTGGTATTGTCAGACACATTCTTACACCAGAAGGCTATAGTTCATGGGCCAAATCCTCAGGAGATGTAAATTAATGTAGTGCTGCTGAAATTAAAAGGTGTATTTCTATCTGATCTGCACTGCTTCTATCACTGTGACAGCTGACTGCCTCTCTAATATAAGCTTCTCAACCAATTGCCCCCAGCAGGATGAAATTCATAAAGTGCTGTCTCTCAACAAATGTTGTATGACATGAGCTATAAATTGCTGCTGGTCAGGAACAATTAGGTATGGCAGTGATTCTTGCACCTGTGTTGGTGTTCTACCTCACATTGAGATGCATGGAATCCTAGAAATGCAGGGCTGGAAGGGATCTCAGGAAGTCTAGTCTAACCCCTAATCAAGGCAGGAGTAGCCATAGCTGAACTATGGGTACTCTCAGGCAGGTGTGTTATGGATAGTAACAAGAAGTTTTCTCAGGGCAAAGCTCAAAGTCAGCCAGTCTAGCCTGTAGGATCTGCAGGGAATGTGCTGGAGAAAGGAGCTCACTTGGATATGCCTGATCTGCCTTGGGAATCAAATGGAAAGTTCTAAGTGGATCCTCATTTGCAGTGATGTCAAGGTTTGTAACCTTCAGTTGGTACAAGAGGAGTTTATTGGAGTACCAATCACTCCTTTAAGTACACCCAGTATAGGAGGCTTCCCAATTGGCATCAGCTAGTCTTATATTAATCCTGTTCCTAGCCAATAGTGAAGATCAGGAGTGTGACTTGCATGCATGGGTCTCCCCTTCCCACTGTGACTCATGGGAAGCAGGACCTTCAAGTTACTCTCACGTACACTGGAGGGGGGACAAACAAGTCCATGCTTTGGAGCTGGGGAATAGAGGGCAGGGGCTCTGGAACTGTAGCAGTCTGTAAGGTTCCCAGGAAATTCAGGAACCTCTGTAAAGGACTCTTAATAACAAACCCTCCACAGTGCACAATGCCTCTGTTTAATATTGATACCCCAGTGAGACACCAGGGCCTTGAAGAATGCTGCTGTGCTGTGTCAAAAGGGACCCGAACAAGACTTGATGGCCTTGGGAAGTGCCTCCCAGTGCTATATTCCTCATGGAAAACAAAAGGTTAATGATAATGCTGCCTTGTATTTTCCTACCTCCCTTGATCTGCAAAAGCTCAGTCAATTACTGAAGTGCAGGTAGTGGCTCATACAACTTTGTTTTGCACTTAAAGCCATGGTTCTTCTCTATCATCTGCCACTGAAATGCAGCCATCTCTGGGCTGGAATGCTGTAATAGTTCAGTGGGGTACAGACCTAAAAGCCTCGGAGCTGTCCATGCAAAAAACCTCTTTTGCACCATATCCCATCTGCCCCCATTTCTGTCCCACCCAAGGTATTGATGGGTCCATTGCTTTAGTTGTGGCTCTGATTAGGCTCCTGCGTGATTTCAAAATTAATCGGTCTGTTCCAGCCATTCTGAAACTGATCTCTGCCTTGCCTCATCTGGGTCCAATTGGCCCCTCGTGGAAATAATATACTGGCTAACTCACATTAGATAGTTGCAGAGTCAAATTTAAAACATCAAGAAGTCCTAAAGGAGAGGAAGCTTCAGCTAGAACAGAATCTATTTAATCCACTCATTCTTGCTGTCGGCTCTAATTTTTTCCAGGGTGAACTTGAAAATGGGAGACATGTGGACCATAGATGCTGATCTTCATTTAGTTTTAACAGGTGAGTAGCCACTAGACTTTCCTATGAATTCTGCTGTCTCAACGTAGCCTACAGTGAGCTGGAGAATTTTTTATTCCTGGATAAATGAGATGTTTTAATGTCAGCTACTGAATTCTTGTGTAGTCTAGCATTTACTCCCTGGTGAGGTGGTGATTGTGTGTCTGTGCTGGGGAGGGTTTGGACTGATTAGATTTCCATGTGGGTTGCTCAAGGCAGCCCCTCGCACACATTTCTCTTTTTAAAGAGAAGCTAGTGCTCTTAAAAGTGCCAGATTGACAGCCTCAGGGACAGAAATCCTCTAGGCAGATGGTACATGCCAGGAGGCAGCAAGGACCTACAAAAAGGACTCAGCCTAGGCTGACCATATGGAAATGTAGGACACCTTCTTCCCCACACACATTTCCCCACAAGTTGGTGGGGGCAGGGCTACATGCTTGCTTGCTTGCAAAGTGCTGTGCTGCTGCAACTCACGGCCAGACTGTGCCCCACACTCCTGTCTTTGGCATGCCCTTTATCATTCCCAGCAGCAGGCCAGGACCAGCCTCTGAAATCCAGGACTGTCCCAGCTAAACTGGAACATGGTAACCCTAACTCAGCCCAGCATCCTGTGTTCTACTCCAAGCTTCACCAGTGACATGCTAGGAGACCTTGGGTGAGCATCTTTATCTTCCCATCTTTTACTTGTCCTTTATATATGCAACTTCTTTGGGATGGGGACAGTCTTTTGCTATATGTTTGTACAGCCCCTAGTACGGTGTCACCCTCATCTTAAAGAGGACTCTTCAGTGCTACTGTAATGTGTAGCAATGCAATGCACACACTTGACCTTCTTTAAGTGATTTATATAGAGATCCACTCCAAGGATGAGACTGCAGTTCAGTTTCTCTGGTTTACCCAGCAATCCTTGTCCTCTCTGCCAGGCCTCTAGGATTTGATTTAGTGTAAGACCTGGTGCCTGCTTCCAGCCCCTGGAGCAATCCAGGAAAATATCTAATGGAAAGCATCTCATCTTGCTGGAGGAAGGCGAAATGACCTAGGACTTGAGCTTTTCCTTTAGGGCTATGTAATACGTATGAATCAGCAAACGGGATTACCATGAGGCCCCTGGTCCCTGGCCTGATTCCAAGCCTAGTGCCATTGTCTTGCATAACATATTGGTTCCCCTTTCTAAGGCAGCAAAGGAGGGTGGTGGAAACTCAGCCCCATGAGAGCACAAACAAAGCCAGCAACAACTTTTGCAAGCAACATGCATTGGAGGTGATACCTGGACAGAAGCGAGGGCTGGCAGGGGTCAGATCCTCCATGTAGAACAAGTTTTGGCAACAGACCTGTGACTATGCCACGCTCTATTGCCCTCAACTGATTGAGATGGGCTCCTGTCCTCCACCTCTTTAGCTCTGGCTTGGCATGACAAGGGATGTCACTATGTTGGTATGCGAGTCCCAGGACTGAGCTGCCATTTCCCTTTGCCCCTGTATTTATTTATCCCTTCCAACAATGGCAACACTGGGGGCAGGTCTGATGGATTCCCTTGCTTCTCAGCAAGCAAATTAGTTTTTAGCTTGGCTCACTATGCTATGTGCCAAGGCAAGTGAAACAACCTGTCCCATGTAACCAAGCCTGGAGCTAATGGAGAAGCAAACAGATAACACAGCTAGCCTGTTTCTGTCTCGGTGCCATGCTCAGAGGCTCTCACTGCTGCCCGCATTTCCATTCCTTCCCAAAGAAGATGCATTTCCACTTCTCCCAATCTCTTCCGGAAAGCGATTGCGACAGCAGGATAATGGGCTTCAATTTGCAATTGGGCACACTGCACCTGTGCTGTGTATTGGAGGTGGGAGGGGGTTCTCTAAGGCTAACTCAATAGTCTCCTTATGCATGGGTGAGCCTGACCCTAGGGCAATGAGGCAGTTAGCATTCCCTGTGCTTAATCCAGCCATTAGGATGTGCCAGGAATGTAGCAAAGCGGTGCACTGATTGGGACAGACTGCAACCCTTTTACACTTCCATTGCTGTAGAGCAGGATTTACCTCCAGCTAGCAGCAGGGTTTGCTAGTTAAGGGGTTCATTGGCTAGCAGTCTGTCTGGCTAACCTCGGAGATGCGATGCAGGGATGAGGTTTTATTTTCCCTATGTGGCCATATGGGGAGTGTATAGGACTTAACTGTGGAAATTGATGGGTTATAATCCACCAGAGACTGAAATGGGTAAGTCTCTTCATCCCACTGTGCTTCAGTTACAAATCTTTCCTCTGCTTTTTTAGAAATGAATGAGGAATGCAAGACCATATATTTATAGCAGAAATTCAGTTAATAAAATTAACATGGTTCTTGCATGACACTTTAACCCACAGCTCTCGAATTACTGTGTAAAGGATTATCATTATCCCCATTTTACTGGAGGAGAAACTGAGTCACAGAGGTAGCAAGTGATTTGGGTAAAGCCAAACTTCAGGTTAATGGGCAAGCTGGGTAGAATGAAGGCCTTCTAACTCAGTCCACAGAGCAATGCTGTCTTTCCAGGGAAAATAAACCTGATCAGTAACTTATTGAAAAGCAAAGATTGGCCACTTTAGATGTTGAATAGATATAGCTGTTTTTAAGTGGCTTGGGCTAAGGCAAATCTAGGCAGTCTGGCATCTCAAGAGAGAAGAGTTTAAATTTAGTATTCTCCAAGAGGTGTTTAACATTCACAGCAAATACACCCTGTGCTGGGCTTACTGTGCTTTGTGCAGATTTAGTATAACCAGGAGTTTATGGCAAGCAACAAAGCCAGGTTTCAGCAAATGGAGAATCATAACACTGCTTTGTAATAAAGTCCTTCTGGGGTTTTTGGGGGGGGGGTTTCAACCTCGCTTCCTAAAGGACAAGGCCATGTGGCATCTACTGTAAACCCAGACATTTAATGGGGAACGTGATTCCATCAAGTTTCTTGTCTTTCATGGGCAAGATCTAAAATCAACAGCAGCTATAACAAAAGCAATTAAACTGGTCCCACTAGAGAGACTGCAATAAAAACCAATTAAATGCCTGCTTTTGCTGTGTGTGAGCACTAGAGGGAGGAACAACATGCTATTGCTCTGACACCTTGCACCTTCAATACAGGCAGCTCAGCCCTCCTGCAGCTGAGGGGGGAGAAGACTGCTAGTGTCCTTGTAGAGTTTGGGGCACATGGAAAACAAGATGGTGGGTGCCTCAGTACCTATGTGAGTTTGCTGCTTAGCACTTGGGGAGGTGATCTGGCATCAGAGCATCTGGTCCTGACACTGCCACATACTGTGATGCAGTTACCAAGCCATTTTCCTCTTGTATCCAGTCCACTGTAAAAGCAAAGAGCTAAGCTTCAGGGAAGACACATGTGCTGGGGCACAAACCAGCCCCTTAAGATCAATGGGAGACTTTCCATGCAGTTCAATAAATCAATATTGGTAACGTGCTTTGAGATCATCAGGCAAACAATGTCAGGATTTATTTAAAATGTCTTTGCATTCCCATTCCCCTCCTTGGCAAAGTATCCAAGAAATGCAGGCGAACTGGCCAAAACTGCTGGCCAAATGAATACCCATCCAAGCTCTGGGACAGACTGAGTTTTTTTTTTCTCCCCCCATCAAACCCACTCTGAAAATGCATAAGAAAACTGCCAGGTGAGATTAGGGAGGAGAGAAGACCAAAGCCATCTGATGGGGAGGGAAGAAGGAAAGACATGCACAGCTGGTGAGGGCTAATGAAGCGCATGCCCATAAATATTTATTGTCTTCTCTGTCTGCTGCTTGCTGCAACTTCCAAGGAGATTTGGTTTCTTGACACACAAAAGTATGAGCTGGGCAGGCCCTCAGATGGGGTAGGGGGGCTGGTTTGTGTGCATGCCTGTGGACACATTCAAATACATACCTATATTTGTGTGCACATATTGTGTTCAGTCCCTTTCCTCACCTGACTTGGACCTGGAGATATTTGTTTTTTTAACAGTGAAGTCTGGGACAGGGGTATTACATATAACTGTACATAATACAGTATTGGGGGATAGTAGAGAGCACCCCTCTTGCTCTATACTTTTAGTCATCCTGTCCTGCATGAATCTGCTAGGCTTCAAAGATGAGAAGATGGAGATGGTCCTGTCAAGTGGGAAAATGAATAAATATTTTAAAATGTAATTGGAGTCATGAGGGAAATGTGACAGGATTTAAATGATGACATAACACACTTGTCTCGTCTCCGCTGCCTCAGCTAATGAGCATGAATTGAGAGCATTAGAGTTGTTTCCGCAGGCATTAGTATGTGTGAGTCAGGAGATCACATCCTTAATTTAGCCTACTCTCTGCTGGTAACCAGCCCTTTCCTTGGCCAGTGTACTCGGCATTGCCCTATGCAGCCCTGGATTAGGGTTGCTTTGTACCTAGATGCCATGGTGATGGGCAGATCAATCGGAGCCTGTAGAGCTGCTTCAAAGCATGTTGATTCCTTTTCCCGCAAATGTTCCCTGAATTACCATTTGTGTTTGAACCTTTCTGGGAAATCTAGAAATGAAGTAAAGATTTTCATTTTGCTTCCAACTGAGGTTTATTGGGTTTGAGGGATTGAAATTTCCCATGGGAAGAGGTGAGGGGGAGGGGGGGAATGACTCTCGATGCCTGCCCGCCCCCCCCCCCCCCCCCGGGTGTGGCTTTTAAGCTAGCTTTCTTTTTTTTCTTTTTTTTTTCTTCAAGAAATATCTTCATTCAAAACAAACGTAACTAGCTTTAAAAAAACAAATAAAAAAAAACCAAAAGCAGCTAGAAAGGAAGGATGGTTCAGTAGACGGGGACCAGCCCAGGAGTGAAACTGGAGACCCACCATGAAACTGTCTGTGTCACTGTCTTGCTCTGGGTAAGTTGCTTAGTCTCTCTACCTTAGTTGCCCACCTGTATAATGAGAATACACCTTTCCTACTGCAGAAGGGTGTTGCAAGGTGTGGTAGGGCACTAGTAGTACCTGCCACTTGAAGGACTGGGCCAGGGAGGGGCAGGTGCCTGATTAGGGTGGCCATTTTAAGGCCCAGCTCCCTGAGCAGCGGGCATTTCTTGATCAGCCAGCAGAAAAGAAACACGTCTCTGCTGAGCTCTTCCAGCAACACCTTGGAGATAAGGGTGAGGCTATGGGGATGGCTTGGAGGCTTCATTGCTCCTGGGCATGACCTAAAACTGCACCCTGCTAGGGCAGAAAGTACTGGTGGGGCTCCTGGTGGCATGGCAGTCCCCAGGTAAATGCCAGAAGTGATCACCTCCCCGGTGTAAGGCGGATTGGGGCACCTTAACCCCAGCCCCCACCTTCAGGTGAGTTATATAATGTAGGGAAGGCAGGTAAGCTTTCTGAAGCAGCTGAGCCTGCTGGGGGGTAAGTGATCCCACAGGGTCAGGCATGCTTTGTGAAACACCTGAGCCAGGAATGGGGGACCCCTGAACCCTGTGGATGGGCATGCAGTTTAGACCTGACCTGAGGGACCTCAACTGGTCCATGCTGGGGCCAAGACTCAAAGGGCCCACCGCAAGGGATGCCCACAGAGAGCAAAGAGGCTGGAGATCCCGACTGGCCTGAGACTCAGCCAGGGCCTAAGGGGGAGC